TTCTTTTTTTTTTTTCACTTAAACACCTTTAATAAAAAACATAAATGAAAACCATATCCGTTAACCCCCACCTGATAGTCTGCACAGGAATCAAATTGACTACATCTTTGGAGAGTATATTGGAGAAGCTCAATATCAATTGTGAAAACTAGGCCAGGTGCTGGTTATGTAAATGACCATAAATATATTTTTTTTCTATAATTATATTTTATTAATTTTCATCAACATTTACAGAGATTTTGGGTTTCCATTCATTCATTGTTGCACTAAGTATTGAAGGATTCTATGTGCAGAATATTGAATGATTGCAGGAAGCATCAAAAGAAGACGGGAAGAGTACACAGAGTCACTGTACCAAAAAGAATTGGTCAGCACTGAGCTATTTAAGAAAGTAGTGTACGACCAGGGATCAATGGAACTAAAGAAAGTTCAAGGTGCAGTAAAGACATAGGCAAAATACAAAGCCCCAGGAATTGGTGGCCGACCACTTAAGATGTTTTAATACACCATAAAACTCTGCTCACTGTTCCTATCTCCCAAAAAGATGATCCAACAGCGTGGACCAGTATCATAAATCAATATCATATGCAAGTAAAATCTTGCTGAAGATTACTTAAAAATGGCTGGTACAGTGAGTGCATTGACAGGGAACTTCCAGAAATTGAAGCTGAATTCTGAAAAGGCCATGGCATGAGCGATATCATAGGGATTTTGGCTTAAAACAGAGAATATAAAAAGGACAGTTACTTGTGTTTTATTGATTGCAAAGGCTTTTTACTGTGTGTATCATAACAAATGATGGATAACATTGAGAAGAAAGGAATCCCAGAACATTTAGTTATGCTCATGTGAAACCTGTGAATAGAACAAGTAGTTGTCTGAACAGAACAAGGGGACAATGTCAGGTTTAAAAAATAAGGTGTGCATCAGGATTGTGCCATTTTTCCGTACCCGTTTGATCTATATACTAAGAAAATAATTCGAGATTCTGGATTATATGAAGAAGAATGTGCCATCCGATTTGGAGGCAGACTCAACAGCCAGCATTATGCAGATAACACAACCTTGTCTGCGGAAAGTAAAAACAAAACTCTTGTTATGTAGGGATTGCATCATAACATCTTGATTCTGAGTCAATGATACACAACAACAGTGGCAAGTACATAGAATTGGAGAATAAAAAGGAGAAAACTTGCTTGGTGTTTCTCAAATTGAAAGAACTAAAAAACAGATTCAAGTGTCAAGTTGCAGTACTGAGAGATGTTACAGACAATATCTTGAATGATTCAGGAAGCATCAAAAGAAAATGGAAGGAATGTACAGATTGATACAAAGAATTGATCACAATTTAAATTTAAAGAATTTATTCTGAACAATTTAAGGTATATGAACAAGAGTCAGTGGTGTTGATGGAAGACATTCAAGCTGCACTGAAAACATTGGGGGAAAAATAAGGCCCCAGGAATCAATGTGGTACCAATTGACATGTTGCACCTAACAGAGACTGCCCTGGACATGCTCACCAGTTTATGCTCAGAAATTTTGAGCTTAGCTGCCTGGCTGGCTGGCTGGAAGAGATGCATATTTGTTCCCATCTTCAGGAAAGGTGATCCAACAGAATGTGAAAATTGTTGACTATAACTATCACATGCAAGCACAATATTGCTGGAGATCATCCTAGAACACTCAAAACAGTACATCGATAGAGAACTTCCAGAAGTTCACACTGGGTTTAGAAGAGGCTGTGGCACCAAGGATATCGTTACTGATGACAGATGGATCCTGAGAATACCAGAAGAATGTATATTTGTTTTATTGACTATTCAAAGGCATTTGACTGTGTGGATCACAGAAACAATGGCTAGCATTGAGAAAAATGGGAGTCCCAGGATACTTGATTGTGCTCATGGGAAACCTAGACCTAGACCAAAAAGCAGTTGTGCTCATGGGAAACCTAGACCTAGACCAAAAAGCAGTTGTACAAAAAGAGCAAAGGAAGACTGGTTTAAAATCAGGAAATGTGTACTTTAGGGGTGTATCCTTTCTCCATACCTATTCAATCTGTATGGTGAGCACATCATAAGAGAAGTTGGACTCTATGAAGAAGAATATGGGATCAGAATTTGAGGGAGATCCAGTGGCCTGGATCTTGGTGTGCCGTGCCCTCCTTGTTACCTGTGGGCCTCCGAAGGTCAGGACCTTCGGCTGCAATCCTGAAGGCCTGCAGTTCGAATCCACAAACTGCTCCATGGGAGAAAGATGGACAATCTCCTTCCATGTAATTAACTGGTTCTGAAAACCTGCTAGAGGGTCAGCTATGGGTTGGTTCTGCCTCTACCTTACCAACAACATCAGTAAACTATATTCTGTAAATGTCTTGCATTAAGCAACCTCGCTTGCTTGCTGAAAGCAAAGAGGACTTGAAATGCTTGCTGCATAAGATCAAAGATGACAGCCTTCAATATAGATTGCATCTCAGCATCAAGAAGACAAAACCCTCACCACTGGACTGGTAAGCAACATCATGATTGTCGTTGTTGTTGTTATGTGCTGTCGAGTCGCCTGCGACTCATAGTGACCCTATGTACAACATCCCTAAACTCTGCTCTGTCCTGTGCCAATCGCACCGTCTCTGACACCCCCATCCCAATTACCCCAGTCACTGAATCAGTCCACCTCATAGAGGGCCTTCCCCTCCTGCGCTGTCCCTCCACCCTCCCAAGCATGACGTCCCTCTCCAAGGACAGGTCCCTCCTTACATGACCACAGTATGTCAGACGAAGCCTCAGAATCCTTGCCTCCAAGGAGCCACCCGGTTTAACCCTTTCCAGGACAATTCTGTTTGTTTTCCTAGCAGTCCATGGTACCCTCAATACTCTTCTCCAGCACCACAGCTCAAAGGCATCAATTCTCCTTCTGTCCTCCTTGGCCATTGTCCAACTCTCTGTTGCATAACAAGTGATTGCAAAGACCATGGCCTGCATCAGATGCACCTTAGTCTCCAGAGAGACACCATTGCTCTTCAGTACTTTAGAGAGGTCCCTAACAGCAGACTTTCCCACAGCAATACACCTTTTAATTTCCTGGCTGCTGGTGCCAAGAGTGTTGACTGTGGAGCCAAGCAGACTAAAGCTGTGAACAATCTCAATCTCTTCACCATCCATCCTGATGCTGCCTATTGGTCCAGTGGTGAGAATCTTTGTCTTCTTGACATTGAGCCTCAATCCATTTTGGAGGCTGCAGTCCTTGACCCTCTGCAGCAAGTGCATCAGGTCCTCCTCAGTTTCAACAAGCAGGGCTGTGTCATCTGCATAACGCAAATTTTTGATAGATCTTCCACCAATCTTGACCCCACATTTCTCCTCATAGAGCCCAGCTTTGGATAATCTGTTCTGCACACAGGATGAAAAGGTATGGAAATAGGACGTATCCCTGGCGTACTATGTAACATCATGATAGATGGAGAAAAGATTAATGCTGTCAACAATTTCATTTTACTTGAATCCACAGCCAACACGCTTAGCAGTCACTGGGAAAATCTGCTGTCAGGGACATCTCCAAATTGCTGAGGCACAACGATAGCGGTTTGAGGACTTACAGCATGACCGATTCAGGCCATGGTCTTTTCAGTCACTTGCTGTGAATCTGAGAGCCAGAAAGTGAATAAGGATGACAGAAGAATTGATGCCTTTGACTTGTGGTTTTAGAGAAGGGTACTGAACGTTTCATGAACTACCAAAAGAACTAACAAATATGTCTTAGAGAAAGTTCAGCCTGCATGCTCCTTGGAGGCAAAGATGACAAGGCTTTGTCTCACATCCTTTGAGCATGTTGTTTGGAGAGGCTGTTCCTTGTGGAGGGATATGATACTTGAAAGGTAGAGGACTGGTGAACGAGAAGATTCTCAACAGATGATTGTCACAGTAACTGTAGCAGTGGACTCAAGGATGTCAGAAATGATGCACCTGGTGGTACAGGACAGAACTCAGATGTATTGTGTGTCGGTTCACGAGTTGTACACATCTCAGTTGCACTTACCAACAATGCTAATGCCTCTGGTGGCTCAGTGGTAGGGAGCTGCACCTTCAACCCAGTGGTGGTGGGGTGGTGCTGGCTGTTAGGTGGTGTTGGGTGTGACTCATAGCAACCCAATCGACATCAGACCTGAAGCCCGTCCTATACTATCCCATCCTCAATATCTCTGACACTAGAGCCCATTGCTTCAGTCACTGTGTCAATCCATTTCACTGGGGATCTTCTCTTTCACTGAACCCCTACCTTTCTGAGTATGACAGCCTTTTCCAGGAAATAACCTAACAACATGTCCAAAGCTTTCCTCTCCTTGGCTCCAAAAAGTACTCCAAGGCATGTGACTAAAATCCAACAGATGCTCTCTGGGTGAAAGTCATGATTTCCTGCCTCTGAAAACCCACTGAGGGCTCAGTTATGAGTCAGTTCCAATTCTTTGGCACATAACAACAGTGGTTAATGCCAAAGGTATGTGTTAGAATCCACCAGCTGCTCCCTGGGAGAAAGACGGGCAGTCAACTCCTGGGTGATTTATAGCCTCTGAAGCCCCCCTGGAAGGTCAGCTGTGGGCTGGTTCTAACTCGGTGGTATTTAACAACAACTTAACAGTGGCAAATGGTCACAAACATTTCTTGATGTGTTTGTTTGTCCTTTTTTGTAAGGATTTTGCTCAGGTGTGTTGTCATTGCTGATTTTTTAGCTGACTTTTTTTTGTTTTTTTTTTAATTGCTTGTGTTTACTGTATGTTTTAGAGATTAGATTCCTACCTGATATATTATTGCCAAAAGTATTTCCGTCTCTTGTGCTAGAATATAAAATACCCTTCCAAATTTTAACAACAGAAGCCCCTTGTACCTGATTGTGAAGCCTACATTGTTTTCGCTTGAAGCATATTTAAATCATATTTTAAGTAATTATCATGAAGTGCTAAAGTGCTTTTGGGATAAATTATTTAATATTATGTTTTTCAGACAACATAAAATAGAAGATGGGGCTATTGTGCATGACACTGAGCAAAAAGAAGAAGTTAAATTTGACAAAGAACCTGGAAAAATCTCACCACATTCAAAACCACGTGCTGGAAGAGGACGTGTTTATTACGCTAAATTCATTAACACAAATGCAAGAACACATAATGAGCCAGTTCCCTACATAGATCCCAAATATGGGCCAGAAGAACAGGTTGGATAGCTGTTTGTTATCTATAAGTAGAGATGTAGATTTAATATTTGTATTGATATAGAATTTGGTCACAGACTGTTTAAAGAATGTGACATGTAATGTAGAGGAGTAGTACCTATAAAAAACAATCATTGAAGGTTGTCCTCTACAACTATTCTTGAAGATAATTTATACATCTATCATATATACTGACTGCCTTTAGTTGTTTTTGGTCAAACACTCTTCTAGGTCGTATAGCCCTGTACAGAGGTAACTCGTGGTTGCTGTGAAGCTGAACACTGTGACACTGTTGGTGTCAAATGCATTAATGGTTACGCATGGCAGACAGTGTTTGGTGGAGCTCCCCGACTAAAACAAGCTTGGAAGCAGGAGTGGCATCCAGTTCTGTAAATAGCTCTGGAAACCCTATGAACTTGGAGAAAGGACGAAAGTTATATGAGTGTCTAGGTCTTTCGTTCATAGAGTCAGTATGAGTCCCCTATGACTTGACAGCACTTAACAACATCATCATATATACACACAGAGAGAGAGACTGTGTGTGTGTGTGTGTGTGTGTAAAACTCTAGAGGCCTAGTGGGTAAGGAGTATAGTTGACAACTTACAAATGTAATTAATCCTTATAGTTTTAATCCATGAGAAAAATATGGGGCAGTGTCCTCCTGTGCAGTTTATAGCCTCTGAAAACCTGCTGGAGGTTCATAAGTCAGTTCTGACTTGATGGCATATAGCAATAACAGCATATGGATACATGATATTGTTGTTGTGTGTTGTTGAGTCAGAACCAACTCACAGCTGACTCTCCAGTAAGGTTTCAGAGACAGTAAATCACCCAGGAAGAGATTGCCCATCTTTCTCTCTTGGAGCAGCTGGTGGACTCGAACCATGGGCCCTTGGGTTATCAGTGCAGCTCCTTACCACTAAGCCAAAGAGCTCCATTGAGGGGCATATGAAAATACCCATCCCAAATGATGATTTCTTTTTTAGACTGGGTTAGATTATAACCACTGTAGTATAATACTTGGTAGGTAGAAGGTTATTAAAGAAATTTCCTCCGTAATATTATAACACCTTCTGATATTAAAATATCCTTAGATACAGAGTCTTTTTCTCATATTTGGATATATTTTATAAAATAATATCTAGCATTTATTGAAAGTATATAAAATGCTAGAAGTAAGTTAAGTGCTTTTAAAAAGGCTTATCTTCAATCTGCACAGCACTTTCTGAGAGGTATTATTAGAAATATTTTCCAGATGATTACATCAATTTCACAGGTTAATTAACTTATCCAGAATTACTTATTAAGTAAGTGAGGGGCCTCCTTTTTGACCCAGAACCTTTGGTTTAGTCAAACCTCATTCTTACTGTGTCATACTAAAATGTATATTATTATTTCTTTTCTTTTAAGTCAAATGTAGATGTAAAAGTTGTATTGTTGAAAAATTTGGTCACAGACTTAAATTTTTTGAAGTTTTTTTTTTCTTTTGTTGTTTGGATTTTTTGTTTTTGTGTTTTGTTTTGTTTCCTTTGTGACTGGCACAGATTACCAAAACTCTCGGCTTAAAACAACCTAAATGCGTTGCCCAAAGTTCTTTGCAGGTTGTAGTTGTTGTGTACCCTTGAATTGGAGCCTGCCTGTAGCTGACCCTCCAGTGAGTTTTCAGAGGCAGTTAAACACAAGGGAGGAGATTACCTATCCGTCTCCAGCAGAGCAGCTGGTAGATTCGAACCGTGTGCCTTTGGGATTGCAGCACAGCTTCTTACCCCTGAAATCAGTCTCAGCTGGCTCTAGTCAGGTTGCTGGCAGGTGGAGTTCCTCGTGGAGCTCTGGTCGGCTTCCTTGACTTCTAGCTCTACTGGCTGCCAGTGACTCAAAATGACCTTATGTATGACAGCTCTGAAGCCTGCCCTGTCCTGAGCCAGTCTCAGTGACTCTGACACACCTACCCCCATTACGCCAGTCACTGTGTCAATCCGTCTCATGCAGGGTCTTCCTCTCCTGCACCGTCCTTCAACCTTTCCAAGCATGATGTCCTTCTCTAAACAATGGCTTCTCCTTGCCATGTGCTCAAAGTATGTGAGTCAGAGCCTCAGAATCCTAGCCTCCTAGGAGCAACTTGGTTTTACTCTCTCCAGAACAGACCTGTTTGTTCTCTTGGTAGTCCACGGTATGTTCAATACTCTTCTCCAGCACCACAACTCAAAGACATCGATTTTTACGTCATTTTTAGTCACACTCTAGCATAGCTAGATAATAGAAATTAGCATAGCCTAAATAAATGTCACTGGTTTGTAGTAATGTTGGCTTTAAGAAGAGTAAAGAAAATAAAGTTGCCAAAATGTTTTATGAATAAAGAGTCTAAGATCTTTGGAACCCAACACTAGATTGGTTTGATTTGTTTGTTTGTAAGATTTTAGAATAAAAGAATAATTTACACACAGTCTATCTGTTGTCCCACCCATAGCGACCTTGTAGGACAGAGTAGTGCACCCCTATAGAGCGTCTGAGTCTGTAAATCTTGTCCGAGGCTCCTTGGAGGTATTGTGTGAGGAGCTGCATTGTCAACCTGAAGGAAGTGCTTTGATTCCATGAGCTGCTCCATGGGCGAAAGATGGGCAATCCCTTCCCGTATAATGCCTCTGAAAAAACAGGCTGGAGGATGAGCTGTGGGTTGGTTCCAACTCAGTGGGACACAGAAAGAAATCTTTTTAGAAGCCGGCTGGCCCCTCTTTATCTGGAGCAACTGGTAGGTCTGACCCATGGTCTTTTGGCTTGCAGTGGGGAGGTTTAACCACTGTGCCACCAGGGTGCCTACCCCTTGGGATATCAATAGCAAAATAGGGATGAATTTAGGTGGCGTGTAACTGATAGGACCTTGACCTCCCAGCTGCTTGTAACAGCACCAGTCATAAAATGTCTAAGGCATCTGGTTACCTGGCTATAATTGGAAAAAAAAAAAAAAACCATTTGTGATCCACAAAGGAGACGGTATCACGTGTGGAACGCTGATTCTCTTCGGAGCATCTTCTCAGGACATGCAAAGCATCTTTATTTTTACTTTGAAGTCGTCTCTAAAAAGCTGGGCTTCGCTGGCTTTGCGTCGGCGGCGGGTTTGATGTAACAGTGCAGCCCTAGAAATCCCAGAAGTACAGACAGGACAGGGTTTGTACTGTCACAGCCCCGTGATCGCCTGGTCAGATGCGTTGGACAAGACGAGAAAATGGCTCGGAGGTTTAATAACTTGCCTGGTGCATTTGACTACAGGCAGCGGGTCAGGAAAGTGGGTGTGCCCGCCCTGGCGAATTATGGCAAGAAACAGCTAAGATCTGTACATCTTAGACGTGGGGCATAAAACAAGCACTGTTATAACTGGAGTGGAGGAGAACTGCAAGAAGTAGGCACCCTGGCAACCGTGAAATGGGACTATTTTCAGCCAGATAGTGAGAAGGTACCATCTGGTTAGTAATCTGTTCGAGAATTTTCCTAGAATCTCTATCAAGTACTCTTAATGTGTGTAATTCATCTTTTAGTGGATTACCAAAAAATGAAAGCAAGGCTTTAGCAAATCTCTTCCAGGTTCCAAAACTCATTCCATCTGCAGAATTAATCATTATCCCTGGATATGATTTTGTCCTTGGCCTCAAACACTGGTGTTCGATAGAAGTAACAAAATGAGGGCCAGCTCTTCCCCCTCCAAGCTTCAGGACTTCCTTCTTTGCCATACGCACGGTCTATCTTTGTCGATGTGGAGACCATTTCCCTTAACACAGAGCCTAAAGGAGAGGAGGATTTGAGGGGATCTGGTTTTGAACTGTCAACAGTATGCTCTCTTCTCCAGATTCTTAGTTTTCTTGCTTTCCACTCGCTCCCCTGCAAACACAAATGCTTTATTTTATTTTAAAACCCTATTTTGCTGCTCTTGGCATTTTAGAATTAGTTTCTGATCTTTTTAACAAACTTCTGAGACATTGATTCTTTCTCCTGGATTTGGTGTTGAGCCCTCTTTCTCTTTAGTTGACACCTGCCTGACAAAGAAATTTAGGACTGGGCTCCGGGTACACACTTTTTTTTATACTTTTTTTTTTCTGATAACATATTCTCATCTGTTTAGAATACATTGCAATGCCCTTTGAATCATATGTTTTAAAGCAGTTGATTATTGTTGTTATGTGCCGTCGAGTCGTTTGCGACTCATAGCGACCCTATGGACAACAGCCCTAAATGCTGCTCTGTCCTGGGCCAATTGCACTGTCTCTGACACACCCATCCCTATTACCCCAGTCACTGAATCAATCTATCTCATAGAGGGTCTTCCCCTCCTGCGGCATCCCTCCACCCTCCCAAGCATGATATCCCTCTCCAAGGACCCGTCCCTCCTGGCAACATGTCCAAAGTATGTCAGACGAAGCCCCAGAATCCTTGCCTCCAAGGAGTAGCTTGGTTTAATCCTCTCCAATATGAATCTGTTTGATTATAGGATTAAAATTTATGTTTTAATAAGTGCTCACCTAGTAACTGAAAGGTTGGAGGTTTGAATACACCCCTTCAGAAGAAAGGCCTAGTGGCTCCCCTTCTGAAAGACTGAAAACTTTGTGGATCACAGTTCAGCTCTGAGATCACAAGGTCACCATGAGTCAAGGTTGACTCTCAATTATTTGTTTCATTAAAGCCCCATTAACGATACCCAATATTTTTCCCTCTTCTCTAATAATATCTAAGAACTTGTATATGTCACAGATTTTCTTCTAATAAATGATCAATCTATGACTTTGTTAAACGTTTGGTCAGAAGTAAATGGAAAACAATTCTCCTCGAGCCTTTTTTTTGGATTCTGAGAGATCACATGGTCACATGTGCTAATGAAGAATGCATTTCATTCTCCCGCGTTCCCTGAAGCTCTGGTGACATAGTGGGTTAAGCATTAGGCTGTTATTGGAAAGGTTAGCAGCCCAAATCCACGTTGAGCCTTAGATGAGAAGAATGAGGCAGTCAGCTCCTGTAACTGTAACAGCCTCAGGAGCCCTGTGAGCCTCTTCTACTCGGTGCTATGAGGCTGCTGTGTTTGAACTAACTTGGTGGTAGTGGGCCCGTTTCTTGTCTACCTTGGTCAAGGCTTAGGACCAAAATACTCAATTATGTTGGGGATGCTCCTCCTTAGAGTAAATAATTATTTTTTATACTCTACCACTCCATCTGTTGCTAGAAGATACATTGCTGCTGTTGTTGAAGATACATTAGTTGAAAATATTTGACAATTCCTTTTAGGGATGTTTTTAAAATATACTAAATCAAAGGATGAATAGTTTTGTAAAAACATATTTATTCCACAATTCCAGAACTCAGTTTTAGTATTGAATCATCCCTTCCTTCATCTTACGTATTTGCAAAGAGCTAATCAGACAATGCATGAAAATACCCCGCAGTCTTCAGTTTTGTGTTTCCTTTTTTTTTTTTTTTTCTTTCTGTGAAGGATGACTGGTGGCCACATGATAAAGTCCTGGAACATTCCTTTCAACCACCTTACGACACTAAAAGCACCCAGAGAAGCGACTTCCGAAAGCCCGCGTGCCCACTGGTTTTGCCCATCAAGCACAGCAGGCTGCAGAAACCTTCTTCAGGAATCGGTACGTTTACTCGTGGGTCACTTTGTTGCATTCTTGCAAGTCGTTGCTGTCAAATGTGTTAGATGCACCAGCAGCCCCGGAGAAGCTGACTTCTTTCTCTACAGGAGATGGAAGAATAAATCTGCCTAGAGCCACCCCCACTATCTTTTCCCAGTGGAAGGCCTATTCCCAAACATGTTAACTTGATGTTGAGTTGTACTGATGGGTACTCACACCAGCCTCCCAGTAAGCAATGACGTCGCTTTCCACTCATTGTTGCTGCCACATGTTTTTAAAATTATCAAAATATGCGTGAATAATTGAAAAGAAAAGATTCTTTGTATATTGTATTGAAACAGATGAGGGAAAGAACAGATTAGAAGTGATATATGATTGAGTATTATGGTTAGCACAGGAATCCAGAATTAAGGTTGCATAGAGAAGTGTACTCGGGGTGGGGGTGGGGGGAGGGGATGTGGGAATTGTATACTAATGAAGGAATTTTTTTTTCTCTTCGGAGGGGGAAGCGAGCTGGTGGGGAGGGGTGGGCAGGGAGAAAAGTGTGGCAATGAATGAATGGAAATCCAAAACCTCTGTAAATGTCTATTAATAATTAATAATAATAATAGTAATAATTAAAAAAAACCCAACAACCTTTGTTTTGCCTGTTTAGTAAAGGCTAGTCCTTAGAAAAGGGACATCATGCTTGGAAGAGTGGAGGGTCAGCACAAGAAAGACAGACCCTTAATGAGGTGGATTGCCACGGTGACTGCAGCTATGGGCTCAAATATGTCCGAGATGATGAAGACAGTACAGGATGGAGCAGGGCTCATATCCATTGTTCATAAGGTCATGGCTGACGTGATGGCTCCTAACAACAGTTTGAAAAAAATGTTATCCTATTGAAATCATTGTTGAGTTGGAACAGACTCGTAACCGATCCTCTAGCCGAGTGTTCAGAAGCCGTGAAGTGCCCGGGAGATTGCTCGTCTTTCTCCCTGTGAGCAGATGGTGGATTTGAACCGTGTGCCTTTAGCAGTGCAGCTCCACGGGTTAGCAATGCAAATCCTTATCAACTAGGTGATCAGAGCTCCCCACTGAGTGGGGAAATATTTCTAAGCATGTATGAAGAGGAACTCTCATTTTGCATGATGTTTACAGTTCTTTCTCAAAGGGACTCAGTGGGCAAAAATGAAATATATAATAAACAGTTTTCTGTACTAGAGAACTATCAAAACCCTTATTCTGAACATAATGTGATGAATTTCCAAGAAGGGGAATGAAAGATACCATATTTCTCCCTTGTGTGGATCTTTGTCCCTTTTTCTGGGATCCTTTACTTTTACAGGTATCCTACAAAAAGCAGTAAAGGTAGTACTGTGATCTAGATGAATAAATAAGACATTTCAGATCTGTAATTTATTTGACCTGACAGTAATGTCACTAAAATGAACCAAGTATTTCATGTTCTATCCAAACTGTACCTGTTTGACTTGCATTCTAGACGTATATGTATATATGTACATGGTATCATATATACATACATAGAGATATTTGTGTACTATGTCCCATATACATACAGATATATATGTGTATGTGTTGTGTGCCGTGAAGTCAGAACTGACTCATAGCTGACCCTCCAGCAGCTTTTCATAGCAGCTGGTAAATTTCAGCCATTTGCATTAAGAGTTGAAATAGCAGTTCCTTACCATTAAGTAACCAGAACACACACACACACACACACACACACACACACACACACAAACTCATGCTCTCTCAACCAATAAATCATGGAGTTCTGGTGGCTTACTGGGTAAGGAGTTGCACTGTTAACCCAAAGACAAAGGGTTCAAGCCCACTAGCTGTTCCAGGGGAGGAAAATAGACACTTTCCTCCCATGTGATTTACAGCCTCTATAAACCCACTAAAGGCTGAGCTATGAGTTGGTTCCAACTCGATAGCAATGAGTCGAGCAATTCGTATTCTAATCATATATCCCCTGGAGTAACAAGTGAAAAATATCTAGTCAACATAGAAATGTATTTATAGAGTATTCACTGTGATTTTCTTCCAGTACAAAAAGCTGAACTTTTCTGTAACACTCAACAATAAAAAATCCCCCTACATTCAAGCTCATTGCCATTGAGTTAGAATCATCTCATAACTGACCCAAAGGAAGGTCAGGGCATTAGAAAAATGATCATATTTAGCATGGTCTCCACCTTCAACATGCCCATAAAGAGGCCCTGTTAGGTAGTCTGTAATAACAGCCTCTTGTTTAAAAAGTCTACTGTACTTACACGGCATTTCAGAACAATAGATTCAACACATACACCTGTCTCCTCTCCCCCTGTTCAATGACAGTGAAGAAATAAACCCATAAGGGTGAAGAGAATGTGAAGAACAGCATCTAGTTCAGACCTTTGTGCAGTGTGGAAAAGAAGAATACACAGAATTTTGTCCTGTATCTGGATAAAAGGGGGAGCTCTGGTGGCCTAGTGGTAAGAAGTCTGCACTGTAATCCCAAAGGTACGGAGTTTGAATCCACCGGCTGCTCCGCGGGAGAAGGATGGGCAGTCTCCTCCCAAGCGATTAACTGTCTCTGAAAATCTGCCAGAAGGTCAGCTATGGGCCCATTCTGACTTGATGGTACACAACAACAACAACATGGATAACAGAGCAGAAAAGCGGTCACCTAATTGGAACCTGGAATGACATCGACTTCCTAAACCACATTGCCTCTGGAAAGTCTATGAACTTTGAAAAGCGACAGTAGTTATAGAAAGGCTTCAGGTCTTTTGTTCATAGGGTCACAATGAGTCATGCTCGACTCAACGGCAATCAACAACAACACACAACAGCAGCAGCAGAATACCTAGAGGAATCTTGGGGTAGCACAAGTGGTTACCAGACTCATGCTCAAGTTCAAGCTCTTTGCCATCCAGTTGGAACTGACTCATAGCTGATCGTCCAGTAACTTTCAAAAGGTGCAAATTGCACAGAAGGAGATTGCTCAGTTTCTTCCTACAGAGCATCTGATGGATTCCAACCACCTGCCTTTGGATTGACAGCAAAACTCCTTGCCCATTAGGCCACCAGAGCTTCCTGTTACCAATCTACCAACTGAATAACCGAAAAGTTGGAGGTTCCAGTCAATAGAGGTACCTTAGAAAGAAGACCTGGAGGTCTCCTTCTGGGGGAAAAAAAAATCAATCTAAAATGCTGTGGAGCACAGCTGCACTCTGAGACCCGTGGGAACACCGGGTGTCGGCACTGACTGCCTAGCAGCTGTTGTGGGGGAATACTGGAAGGAAGACGTAGATGAGATAAGCCAGTCGGCCTGGCAAGACCCGTAGTAGCTGCAGCTTGGTCAGCCAACACACAGAAGACGTGCATGAAAGAAGGGGAGGGGGGGCGGGCTGGGTCAAGTCTGTCTGTTGCATAAATAATCACCCCGGTTTGAAACACACCACCCTGTCCCATCATGAAGGCCAAGTTTGCCTAGCCATTGACCACCACACTGGTTATTTCAATAAACCAATCCAGTCATCTATCCTATTCTTCATGGATGACCAAAGATTAAGGTTATGCCAAAATATTTTTTACATTAAGAAGGTAAAATCTGGGGCGGGGGAGGCTAGGGAGGGGACAAAAGTGCAACAATGAATGAATGGAAATCCAAAGTCTCTGTGAATTTTCATTGAAATTAATATTTTAAAAAAATTTTTAAAAAGAAGGTAAAATCAAGGAACTGTCCTAGGGCACAAAGCAGTGAACTTAAAAAACTATAAGAAAATCAGACAGAAGGAATGGAGCCTGGCCTATCAGTCTGAGAGGGGCCACTAAGCCAGCACTCTACAAAAGAGTGAAAATAAACAAGAATTAACTATCAAAATGTCACGTTTATGGGTGCATGCTACTTGCTGCTGAACTTTTGTGTATACTATTTAGCAGCACTATTTGGTACTTTTCTTACTATTAACTCAAGTTTTTTACAACATCCCTATGAAGTGTAATAATGTTAATAGTCTCCTTTTTCAAGCACAGAGTTTAAGTAACTTGCCCAAATCTACACAATGAATAATTGGCATTTGAAGACAGTCAGACTCTGATGCCTATGCTCATCACAAGCATTCCACCTTTGTAGAATAAGAATCCAAAGAAAGCTTCCTAAAGCAAAAGGGAGGCATTGAAAGGGCCCACCAGGTACTTCCAAGAATGGGGGGAGGGGGGAGGAAGGACATGCCTACACATCAATTAAAATTGTGAAGCGATTTTTAAATCTCCCAGAAAGAGAAAGAAAAATAAGTACCATCGAAGGAATGAAAATCAGCCTGGAATCAGAGGGCATGGATGCAAAGTCACAGTGGAACAATGTCTTCAAGGTTCTTAGGGGAAATATGATTTTTAACCTAAAAAGAGAATTTCCTTGGCGTGGGTACTAGACTCATTTTCCCTTCACATGGCACTGGGACAGCTGAGCCCCCTGAAAAGAAATGTAATCCTAGCACAAGAGTCCCATCAGTCAACAAATAATATTATAAGTGTTAATTAGTAGTATTTATTTTGGAGCTTAATCTATAAATAAAGTTTAAATAAATATATAGGGCAGAACAGAAAAAAAAATAAAAAATGTCATTGTATAATAGTTAAAAGATGGGCAGTAGAAGATGCCCGTTGCCATGACGGTAGTCCTGATTCATGGTAATGCTACAAGACAGACAAGAGCTGCTGCACCTGGCTTCCCGGGTTGTGATTCTACCACAACAGGTAGCCAGGTGTTTTCTCCCATGGAATGGCCACTGACTTCAGACTGGCAGCCTTTCTCTTAGCTAACAGTTTAACCACTGTGTCATCAAGGCTTCATGCTAATGTCCATTTGCAATCTGTAGAGAGGTCCTCCATAATGTGAGTGAAGCAAGGAGTAGAGGTGTAAGATTAAAGGCCAAAGAACCCAGTTCAAAAGCAGATTTCTGTCTCTAGTGCTGGCTTTCCCCGTAAGCCTTGAGCTCAATGGCTCA